TATTTATTATTTTTATGTGTATGCGTGTATTGCCTGCATGTAGGTAAGTGCACCTGTGTCATGCAATGCCCACAGAGATCAGAAGAGGCCGTCGGATCCCCTGGGACTGGAGTTGCAGACAATTGTTAGCTGCATGTGGGTGCTGGGATTAGAACCTGGGTCTTCTGCAAGAACAGTCAGTGTTCTTAACCGCTGAGCCTTCTCTCCAGCCCCAGGTATTCTATATATTTTACCACGACTCCCTTAGTGTCATTGAGTCTCTGAGTACCAGTTTCCTTAAATTAAATTTTTGCTTATATCTTTAGACTTACATGTGTACATAAAAAACTTTTTTAAAAAAGAGGCATTATTGATTTCTCTAAATAACAAGGAATTGGAATACTTTTTATGGTCAAAGGGGCCAAAAGTTAGAACAGTAAGTGAAATTTATAGGAAAGTAGATTGTATATATAAGAATTTTAAAATTATGCCACTCTGCTTCCAATGTGCAATTTGTCTTTCAGGGTTTAAAAAAATATTACCATATGATGTGTGTGTGTGTGTGTGTGTGTGTGTGTGTATGTGTGTGTGTGTGTGTCACAGTGCATGTGTGGCAGTCAGAGGACAACTTTCAGGAGTTGGCTCTCTTCTTTCATCGTGGGATCTGAGAATCAAACTCAGGTGGTCAGGTCTGGTAAGCACATTTACCCACTAAACCACTTCACTGGCCTTTAATTTTTTTTTTTTTTTGGCTTTTTGAGACAGGGTTTCCCTATAGCCCCAGCTGTCCTGGAACTCACTATGTAGACCAGGCTGGCCTTGAACTCACAAGGATCCACCTGCCTCTGCCTCCTGAGTGCTGGGATTAAAGGCATGCGCCACCACGCCTGGCCTGGCCTTTAAAATTTTCAAAAATATTTTATTATTTTTGTTTCATGTGTATGAGTGTTTTTCCTGCATGTAAGTGAACCAATGTCATGCAATGCCCACGGAGATCAGAAGAGGATGTCAGATCCCCTGGAACTGGAGTTATGGACAGTTGTTAACTGCCATGTGGGTGCTGGGAATTGAACGTGGTCCTCTGTAAGAGTGGCCAGTGCTCTTAACCACTGAGCCATCTCTCCAGTCCCCTTTAGTATTTTTTTGAGACAGGGTCTCACAAAGCCCAGTCTGGTTTTGAAGTCACTATGTAGCTGAAGCTGACTTTGAACTTCTGGTCTTGCCTCTACTTCCCCAGTGCTGAAGTGTGCACCACCATACAGGTGGTAGTACTGGGGATGGAACCCAAAACTTTGTGCGTGCTAGGCAAGCATTCTACCAATTGAGCTACATACACCCCTAGCCACTGAAGTTTCAACTACCTGGAATCAACTATTGCCTCAAAATATTGAGTGAAAATTCCAGAAATAAAGAATAATTTTTTTAAGATTCAGAAATATTGAGGACAACTTAGACCAAAAGTCTCCACAGTTGATGTTTTATGAATTACGCTTGGCTGCAGAGCAAATATACTTGTTTGTGTGATATCTTTAACCAGTTTTGGAATGAATATACTGTTTAATTCAAATATAGGATGTATATTGAAGATAAATTTATAAGAAACTATGCTATAATGAGCCAGGCACAGTGGTACATTTCCTGTACTGCCAGCACTTGGGAGGTGGAGGCAGGAGGATTAGTTCAAGGTCAGCCTGGGCTTCAACAGCAACCAAACTATGTTATAACTTCAGTAAAGTGAAACCGGAAAGTTAGCTACAATGAAGCTGAAGAAGAAAGAAGGGAAGAATGGAAGGGTATGAACACTGCTTTTAAATTATCAAAGCTGGGTGTGGTGAAAGGGGCTTCTAACAGCACTCCAGAGGCAGAGGCAGGAGAATCAGGAGCTCAAGGACAATTTTGGCTACATAGCAAATTCGAGATCAGCCTGGGCTACGTGAGACCCTGTGTCAAAACAATTTTCAGAAATTAAATATACTGAATGAAATACTGTGTAATATGAATATGCTTATGTGTCAACTTTTCAGAGTATATGCAGAGGGAACCCCTTCTGCATATGAATGAAATATGAGTGAAAAGAATTTAGGCCATAAAAGGTACATTTTCAGAGGGGGGGGGAGGTATGGTATTTATTGTCTCTGTGACATAATCTGGGATAAAAATATGACAAAATACTTTTTAAAAAATGTTATTATTTTTATTTTATGTGTATGAGTGTATTGTCTGTATGTATGTGAGTGCACCCGTGTCGTGCAATGCCGCGGAGGTCAGAAGAGGGCTTCGGATTCCCCTGGAACTGGAGTGAAGGACGGTTCGTAGCCATCATGTGGGTTCTGGGAATCGAACCCGGGTCCTCTGCAAAAGCAGTCAGTGGCTTTAACGGCTGAGCCATCTCTCCAGCCCTGACAAAATATTTTTTAAAAATTATAAAGGTATTACAGGTCTGGCTAGAGGTGCTGGGTTGTATTTAAATATAAGTCAACGAGCTAAGAATGTACTGTTTCTCAGTTGAGGCTCTGGTCGGCAGGCAGCAGGCTTAGTCTGCCCTAAAATGAAAGTTCTATGTTCCTAGAATTAACTGCTTTGCAGGAGCATATGCTCAGACTCATTACAATTAGGAAAGAATGCAAAGCAGGTAAACAGAAAAAAAAAAATCCCTTTCATTATGAGAGAGGGGGAAAAAAAGGTGGGAAAAATATTCCATATAGACTTCTGTTAAGTTTGGGGCCCAGAGAATAGTCGTTGAATGAATTTGACATCCAGGGTCTTTCCGCTTAAGGGAAATTCTAATAGGGGGCGGGTCTCGGGATGGAGATAGAAGGGCTTTAGTGAAGGTTTGCTCCCGGGAGGAAACCCGCCTAGCAAAGATGCACTGAGCACCATCCCACTCTTCAGGGGAGATAGGAACAGGGAGCTCAGGTCCGACGCGGTTAGAATGTAGCCGCAGCCGCAGCGTCGGTATGATACCGCAGCGCTCACTATTGTGTCCCCACCGGCAGCGGAAGGACGGGGTTCCACCGCGACGTTAAAGAGTCCCTCTTTGTTCCGCACGGACCGCGGACACAGGGCGCCGTGTTCTTCCGCGCTGGTCCGCAGTCTCCGCCCCTCCGCGGGTCTGGAGAGCTGCCATTCGGCCCTGGAGCCGCTCCGCGCTCCCAGAATGCACCGGCAGTCCGCGGGAAACCAAAATGGCGAAGGGCTGTAGCCAAGTGGTCCGTGCTTGAGGCCAGTGTGGGAACGCTCACCTCCCCCCTCCCCAGCCTCGTCCCCGAGGACCTCGGAGTGTGCGTGCGGATGCACGGGTTTCCCGGCGGGGCGGGGGCCCAGTGAGAGCCCGGACGCGCGGGGAAGCGCCCACGGGGACCTGATTGCTTCTGTTTTCCTGTATGAAGCGGTTGGCACCACTGAAGTGACCGAATGAGGTAAGAGACCTTGGCCCAGGGACTGACTCCGGCGGAGGACGTGGGGTGGTGGTGTGGGGGGGAAGAGGAAGAAAGGCAAGTGAAAAAGGGAAAGATGGACGACCGGCTGGGGTAGAGGCTGCTTGCTGGGTGGGGGTGCTTTGCATTGACGCATATGCTGGAAGAATGGATGGAAGGCGCCGGCGGTGGAATGTTGGCGAACACAGGGGCTGAACCTGGCGTTTGGGGAGTCGGCACCCGGTGAAGCGTTGAGACCGGGAAGCTGCGTTGGGAGGGCAGGAAGGAACCTGGGGGCGGGAGACCGTTGGAGGGGCAGGATGAACCTGGTGGCGAGGGGTGGGGAACCGAGGGGAGGAGCCGTAGGAAATGGGGGCTGATGTGGGGAAAATGGGGGCTGATGTTGCCACCGAGTGGGGAGCTGCCTGGCACCTTAGGGGGTGCTGAGGGAGGGAGTAGCTTGGAACCAGAGGGTGGTCGGATTGTGTGGAATTGGAGTAAGGTGAGCTGGTGGACAGGCTGGATAGAGAATAAGGATGAGGGCAGTGGAGGCTGAAGTGGAGCCTGGAAGCTTGCAGGGAAGATGTGGGAGGTGAGATGAGGTAGGGGAAAGAGACCTTTTATTTGGAGGCTTTTATGTTTAGTTAAATCTCATTCTTCCCTGTTCAGACCTGTGTATTCCTGTTTACAACTTCGGTGATTGCAGTTTTAAGGGATGTAAACTGAATTTGCTAGGATTTCTTCATATATTTCTCCAGTGCCAGAACTCTTAACTGTGGTTTCCAATCTGGTGTCCTTGATAGTTAGAATTTTTCTTGGGAAGCAATTAGAAGGAACAGATGGAATTAACGGGTGGTTTGAGAGTTGGTGAACAATGGGAAAAGGGTTAGAGAATGCTATTCTGTTATTCTTTAAAACATTTAACTCGGCCTGAAGATAGAACCATGTAATACTAACTCGAATATGAAAATAGAGGTAAGCATGTGAATAACATGGAAAGTGCTGAGTGAGATCAGTACAGAGCTAGAAATGATGTAAATAGTGGTGGATTTGACTCCATATGCTGTAGTAGTAACTTTCTCCTTCAGATAGATTTCATGTGATCTACACTCCACCTTGTCTCCAGGCAGGTTTCAGTTTTCATTTTTCTCTTGGGAATTTCTTTTTTGGGGAATGAATTTAAAAGTCACTGTGATAAAATAAGATGAACTTAAATTCTTAAGTGGCCTTTTAGGAGGCTGGGCAATGCTTTTTAAAAGGAACCATTTTGACCAAGACTGTATGTGCCCAGTAGTTGGAGCAAAAAGAGCTTATTTTTTATTTGGTGAGATATACTCTCATTCTGAGCCCAGGCTGGCTTTGAATGTGTGAACATCTTACTGCTTCAGCTTCCTGAGAGCTGGGATTACAGGTGTGAGCCACCATACACAGCTCAAGAAGTTGGTTTTAAGTTTCCTGACATTAAACATTCTGTTTTCTATTGAGAGTGTTAATTTGCACGCCCAATTTGCAATGATAACCTGAGAAGGGATGCAAGGTGAAACTTTTTTTAGTTCCTAAATATAAGAATGCATTTGAATTGACAATTTAGAATTTGTTCACCTTAATTTTTTTAAGTGCTAAAAATGTTCCAAGTATTTGAATTAAGGGTGCACCTGTTTCCTGATACTGCATATTTATAATAATAATAGACACTAAAGGAAGGTTATGCCTATCAGGATGACATGCATATACAACTTTAGAATTAGATATGTAGAAATCATCTACTTAAACTTTTCTAGATTAAATTTATTTAATAGTTATTTAAGTTAATCATGTTGCCTCAAAGTTCTGTTCACAAAGGAATCTTATTCTGTGTATTCTGCTGTGGGCCATTAACTCTTTGATGCCATGGGTTATAAACAGACCTTTTCATTAGGCTTTTGAAAATATAATTTGCTTTTTCATATTTTACTATTATCTTTACATCTGACTTGAAACTGGAAGTGTAGTGATAATCTGTTTTAACATGGGAAATTTGCCTCGAAGACATTGCCATGACCAACATCTATTGTGTGGTGGTTCTGAAAGTATAATTAAAAAGTTTTGATTTCTTTTTATTTTTATGTGTATGAGTGTTTTGGGTGCATGTGCACCCATGCATGCAATGCCCATAGAAGCCAAGAGAGGACGTCAGATCCCCTGGAACTGGAGTTATGGATGGTCATTAGCACCATGTGGATGCTGGGAACCCATCTTGGTCCTTTGCAAGAGCAGTTAGTGCTCTTAACCACTGAACTATCTATCCAAGCTCCTGAAAGTAGAATTTAACTACTGTTTGTGTATCCTTCCATGAATTGTGTTCCTTGGTAGACATTTTTATACTTGTGTATTCATTCCTACAAGAAAATTTCACTTACTGAAGTGAAATAACAGTATATCAACCTTAAATTGGAATATAGGAGTTTCTTTGTAGATGTGTTACGTAAAAAAATTTCAGTAGAGCTTTCTGTAGCAATGTCACTGTTCCATATTTGCCTTATCCAATATGGTAGCCACTAGTCACATGTAGATATTGAACACTAGCAACACAAATTAGTAGCGAGACAGACCTAGAACTGAATTTATCTTTATCTCACCTTCCCGGGTTTTCCTAAGTTTCCCAGACTGGCTTTGACCTTGAGATCCTCCTCCCTTAGCCATTGTAGTGGTACCTGTGATTACAGACCTGTGCCATCAGTTCCCGTTTAAGAACTGTGTTAATTAAAATCAAACTTTAGCTAGGGATGGTGACACACACCTTTAATCCCAGTACTTAGGAGGCAGAGGCAGGTGGAGTTTTGTATCTGAGGTTAGCTTGGTCTACATACAGAGACCTGTCTCAAAAAAAAAAAAAAAAAAAGTTTGTGCGTGTGAGTGTGTGTGTGTGTGTGTGTGTGTGTGTGTGTGTGTGGCTGGAGAGATGACTCAGTGGTTAAGAGCCCTTCTCTTCCAGAGGGCTCAAGTTTGCTCTCCAGCACTCACGTGGAGAAGTTTACAACTGCCTGTAACTCCAGCTCCAGGGGTTTCAACAACCCTCTTGTTGTACCCCCCCCCCACATAAATGAAAATAAAAATAAAAATTTTTTTGAAAACAAAAACCAAAAAAAACCCACGCAAACGCCACAAACCACAAAACTTAAATTTTAGAGGCTTGGAAGATGACCTCAGTGGGTAGAGGGCTTGATTTGAATCCTTGGCACCCATATAAAAGCTGGGCATGGCAACATACCTAGGTAACTAACTCCAGTGGTGGTGGGGGTGGGAGTGATGGTGATGGCAGCAGAGATAGCAGATCCTCAAAACTTTCTGGCCATCCAGTCTAGCTAAATTGGAGAGCTCCAGGATTGTTGAAGAAACCCAATTTCAGAAAATGAGGTGGTGGAGGGTGATAGAGGAAGACACCTGTGTCAAACTCACCTTCACATTTAAGCTTGCAAAGCGCACGTGAGGCACACATGCACACACATGAATACATACACATGCATATACCACACACAAAACAACCTTCCCCTAGATCTAAACTTTAAATGGCTCTATGTAGCAGGGGTCATAATTTTGAAAAGCATAGTATTAGGGATTATTTCATCCAATATTATGAATTAACATACTTAACTGGAAATCACAGGAAACCAAGCAAAAGAAAACTGTTTTAGAGCTGAGTAATTTTTTTTAAAAAAGAAAGAATCTGGGTGTTGTGGCACACACCTTTAATCCTAGAACTTGGGAGACAGAGGCAGGTAGATTTCTGTGAGTTCCAGGCCAACCTGGGCTACAAAGTGAGGACCCCCCCCCATCTCAACAAATAAACAAAAATAAACCTGGTAAACTTAAGATTTTCTTTGTCCAATTTAACACAAAATAGCCTTCATTTTTGATGCAGTATCTCTGTCATATATTTATATATACTGTTGTAAAAGAGGGTGTGAGGGCAAGGTTGGGGAAGGGGGTCTTAATTTGATTAAGAACTGTTGTATGAAATAAAGGTTCAGTAAAATATTTTAAAAAAGAATAGTAAAGTATTTCAGTGCATTTGGCCTTGAACATGCGTAGCTAATGAGAAAGCTGCTTTTTTAAAGGTTTGTATTTTTAAATTATGTGTTGTCTCTTTCTCCCTCCATATATATCCCAGGCTGCCCTGAAACTCAGTGTATCAGAGAATGACCTTGAGTCCTGAGTGCTGGTATTGCAGGGATGAGCCAGCATTCCTGGTTTATGTGGTGCTGGGGATTGGACCCAGGAGGGTTTTATGTATACCAGCCAAGCTGCTTAGTATTACAAAAAGCAACCAAATGGATGGTAGGAGTGCTAGTTTACTTTGTTACTTTTGAAAAGTGTTCTTGGGCTGGAGCTGTAGCTCAGTTCGTAGAGTATTTGCCTGGTATGCATGGGGCTGTGGGTTCCATCCTTATCACCTCCTAAAATTCAGTGTAGTGGTGCATACCTACAGCCCTAGCATTTGGAAGGTGGAAGAGACAAGGAGGTTCAGATGTTTATGGTCATCCTCAGCTACATAATGAGTTTGAAGCCAGCTTGGGATATGTGAGCCTTTTTTTTTTTTTCTTTATTTTATGTGTACCAGTGTATTGCCTGCATGTATGTGAGTGCACCCGTGTCGTGCAATGCTGTGGAGGTCAGAAGAGGGCTTCAGATTCCCCTGGAACTGGAGTTAAGGATGGTTCATAGCTGCCATGTGGGTGCTGGGAATTGAACCTGGGTCCTCTGTAAGAGCGATCAATGCTCTTACCGCTGAGCCAGGGAAATCCGACGCCCTCTTCTGACCTCCGTGGCATTACATGACATGGGTACACTCACATACATGCAGGCAATACACTCATACACGAGGCAGGCGTATCTCTGTGAGTTCAAGGCCAGCCTGGTCTACATAGTGAGTTCCAAGACAACTGGGGCTACAGGGAGACCCTGTCTCAAAAAGATCAAATAAATGAATAAATAAATAAACGTTTTTAAAATTTGTGTGTGTG